ATAAACGAATGAATGTAAAATCCGTTTCAATTTAGAGTTTACTTAAATGTTCTTAACGATACGTCCTATGTCTACATCGCAGAAAATAGTGAAACGACAAGTACCATCTTTATATCGCTCCTTTCACCCTTACCTAAACTCTACCGCACTAAACCTTCGGCATTTATAAATATAACCAATTGATTCTTCCTGTCTTACCTTTTAACATTACTGTAAGGTGGAGGCCCAATGTAATTAAGTTAAATGACTTCAGCAGGATTTTCAAGGCGTTATATGAACCTATTTTCTTCCTCCCAACTCGGTGCCTTCAGTACCTTCTCCTCTCTCACATTTGGAAGTGTCTTACGGCGAAACGGTACCTCACCTACTTTCGAATGAAAATCCCCAGAAGCAAAGGACCAGTGGGAAATACAACTCTGGTATGTACAGTGGGTCAGTCAAGATACATCATACATTTCCTCGTTTTTACCATAATGAAGAACTCCTCCAAAGTCTGGCGCATGAAATTTATTGCTTTACGATGAATGGCAGCAAATTCCTGGGTGCTAATGGTTCTGGCATCAAAGTTCATATCCCACAGATCTGGCACTAAAATAAATATTTTTCGGCGGAACTGCAACATAAAAGTTAGCTCGTGAGGTGCTTTATGTGGAAAATTCCAGCACCGGCTTATGTGAATCGTCTAAACAAGACCTACTTATGCGGCAGTTGACAGATCTGCAAGATTGGCATTTTCTGCCTTTCATCCCGCCTCCATAAGAATCGCAGAAATTGCAAAATACCTATATGGACCTGCAAATCCAGTGAACCAGCACTCAAAGCAAAACGCCACTGCGAACTGTTCACGCTTTGTTTACTGAGAAAGAGAGGAACAGGAGGCAACGTAGGTTCAAAGCCAAGATAAAATATTTTTCCTGCTCTTTGTAATTGAACGAAACGAAGTCCCTCCCGATACCCAACCTATTCAAGACCTGTAAATCATGTTGTGAATACTTCCATTCATCGCATTCGCTTTCTAAAGACCAGCTCAGATATGCAAGGCTTTTAAGGTGTATGGCGAAAACTGTACAAGAACTCTTGCTGTTTACACCAAAGTCTGAAAGCTAAAGTCTATAAAATCGTTTATCGCAAGATTTTGTAGCAAAAAAAAAATATTTCTTAAATGCTGAAAACATATCAAGTAATAAACTAGACTCGAACGCAGTTTAAAAATAACCTAGAAGTCGGAGTAACCGCCCAAACTCGATTCTGTGTTGTTGTACTCCCAAGTAAGTTTCAAAATAGCAGAGCCTTTTATACTTAACTAAAATCTATAAGTATTCAATTAAACACATCACTTTAAGCATAAACCTATCATTTTTTTATAAAATTAAATCACTGCAACCTACATAATAGAAAGCACTTCTTTTCCGTCTTAAACTTTTGTATAGTTACTTCGGTCAATTTGCAAAGCGGATGTGGTTAAAATAAATGCTTCACAGGTGTTATACACCCATCGTTCAAGTAGGTCTTTGAAAATTATGAAATGGAGAACGCTTTTTTGTAAGCAAAACATGTTCTTTAAGCTATTGACTAATTTTGACTCTCACTGCATTATTTTTTCTCGTCACATTAATGCTAGAAAATGTTTCAAATTTTCCTATTCTCAGTTCAAAGATGCTAACTACAAATTTACCAAAAGACACGTAAGAACGATGAAATCATTGAAATCACACTTCGTCTTTATGCTGATGAACATTTAGAAAGACCTTTCTTGAGAAAAATTCCATTTACAGACGTTTTAAAGAGTAAAAGTCGAATTAAAAAAATTCTTTTCTGAAAAACCGAAAAAAAAAATCAGGAAAGGTCATAGGCTCAGAGGACTTATTGTTCTAAAGAAATAACTTCTCACTAGGAGTATTAGGTACTGGGTGCTGTCGCATTGCCGATAAAATTTTCTGTACTCCAAATATAACTGACGATAAAATAAATTTATATGTTTCCTTTAGTCGAAGTCAACCGAAGGTTACCATATACAATAGTTCGTGGTTCCCATGAAATTAAACGGAAGTAGAAACGGTATAGAAGTTTAGAGCTAGCAGTATTATGTTATTGACTGTTGTCTACATCGGCTCTACTTCTGCTGTACTGTTTGTATATCTGCCAAGTTCATGGGTGGGTCTAAACATATCACACCAACATAAAAGCAGGAGACAGTAAAACTTCAAAGTTAGCTGGTAAATGAAAAGGACTGTTGGTTTATGAAAGTTTTTGGTTATACTGTTGTCAGTACTCCAAAGTACTCTAACTTCACAGAACTTTTACTTGATTTCTGAAGTGCAAGTCTACAGCAGGAGAAGACAGTCAAGCACTGTCTTTCAGAAATAGACTATAAAAAGTACACTTCGTAGGCGTTTGCGCATAAATCGTTGAATAGTTCCAAATTCAATTCAAGGCTTTACTAGATCCTGAGCTGCTCAGAGGATGAATCCACAAAAAGCCGATGGCTTGAGAAAACAATCGGTCAAAGTTCGTAAGGACATATTAGCTGGTTCGGAAGACACTGAAAGGAAGTGATTTACAAAGATAAGTCAAAGTTCAAGATCAGTTTTTGAGGAACTGCTATGTGGTATGTACAGCCATTGTCAAACTGCTACTAGTAGTAGCGGTTATCCAAGAAATTACTTGGCCAAATAACACCATTGCTTCATGCTGTGAACATATGGAGCGATAATATGGTCCCGTTCGCCATATTCGCTAAACTTTCTCTGGCATTACTTTACATTAAAATGACAATTAATTTACACTGTTGCACTCTTAACCATCTACTTTCGGAAGTAAGCGAACATTTTGCTCTGTCATTTATTCTATTAAAAGTTCACCAAAACCGCATAAGACTCCGACAACGTTGGCAGCATAGAGACAATGCTGTTAAAAAATAGAAAACCCAAAACGGATTTTTTAAATGTCCTACAATCTTCTCATGTTTACGACCGCCATTGCACGTCTTGTGATGGTGTATTTCTCTAATCTACCAGTCCCGAATTCATAATTAGCAGTTAGATGCAGAACAAATTATTTCATATCGGCTCCATCTAGCTACAGTAACTCAGTGTAACCGACTTGACCTTGAAACCAGAAATACCATGGTCCAGTGCAGTTTTCATCACGCTATCTTGCCCGTCCTCCCATAACTCGCTTGTATATCAATGTCCCGTATACAAACATCTCGTGCCTTGTGAGGAGGAAATTCCGTACAAAATAACTTTCGGGAAATCAAAGATAGAAGTTTACACCCCCCAAATCGCGTAACTCATCAAAAAAAAGTCAAAGAAATTCCAGAAGCATCCAAAAAATAGAGGGAATTTCTCTACAAGACTGTTTAGAACCATTCAATCGAGTAAGCTGAAGACTCCCTGATCACTCACAATTTTAAACTTTGCCATTTCGAATAAACGATGTTGTCCAGAAAATTCCTCAAAAAATGT